TTGTAAAAACAACTTTCTTTTTAAATATTATACATAAACGCATAGTTCAATCATTTCTTTAGGCGAACGTCTAGTGTTTCAAAATCGATTGTAGTAAACGCTTGCGTTAGTATTCTATATACACAGCACATTTTATTCGAATTGTGCGAATTTGAACAATAGCTTCATTGCGTTATTTAAGAAAATGAAAGATCAGTGAAAGCAGATTTTTCAATTTCACACACAATGAAATATTCATATTTCAATTTTGAAACGAGATCTCGTATCTCGAACCGAAAAGCGAAAGCTTTACGGTGTACTAATTGTAACCGTAATAAACATACTAGTTTTAGAATCGCCCTAATTATCTTAAACTATTTCGAGGGAATCACGATCGAAACATGTATAAATATATATAAACTCACCCTGAACGGTAGATCACTTAGCTCGTGGTTCGATGAAAAACGCAGCTAATTGCGTGTCGACATGTAAACTGCAGGATACATAAACATTGACATTTCGAACGCACATTGCGGTCCTCGGATACTGTTCCCGGACCACCTCGGGCTGAGAGTCGTATAACATTACCAGACTGCCGCTTGCTTTTAACGGCTTGCCGGCGAATGATGGAGTTTTGCGTATATGCGTGCTCTTAAATAATTCACTCAACGTGTGAGTCAGTCCACTTTGCAACATCGGACATTATCGTTCGTTGACGTTCTGTAGGATTACGGCGGGTTGTGTGTCCTAGAAATTTTATATTCTTGCGACCCTCCCGATAACCGAAAACCCGAACTCTTCGAAATGCGGTTTCGTTCCGGCAAACTTGGACGATTCAAAGGTTTCTCGTCGATTTTGTGTGCGCTTGCTTACTAACGTTTGCGAGCACATCATAATCATAATACGACCTCAGAGCAGATGAGATTACCCGCTGAATTTAAGCATATTACTAAGCGGTGAAAAAGAAACTAACTAGGATTCCCTTAGTAGCGGCGAGCGAACAGGGAAGAGCCCAGCACTAAATCCCGCGGCCGGAGACGGACGCTGGGAAATGTAGTGTTAGGGAGAATCCGATTATCTCGGTGCGTTGCGGCGAGTTCAAGTCCATCTTGAATGGGGCCATTTACCCATGGCCCGTTCCGCGTATCGAGAGGATTTCTCCTCAGAGTCGAGTTGCTAGAGAGTGCAGCTCTAAGTAGGTGGTAAACTCCATCTAAGGCTAAATATGACCACGAGAACGATGAGCGAACAAGTACCGTGAGGGAAAGTTGAAAAGAACTTTGAAGAGAGAGTTCAAGAGTGCGTGAAACCGTTCAGGGATAAACCTGAGAAACCCGAAAGATCGAAAGGAGAGATTCAATGTTATCATTGTCTTCCATTTATTGGCGTGCGATTGACAGGGATTCGTCCTGTGATACGTCGTTTGTTTATACGTTAGGCGGCGATGGCATGCCCTTCTCTCTCAGTAGGACGTCGCGACCGGTTTGGTGTCGATCTACGACCGCGGGGGTAGCCTGTCACGAATTTATTCGCGAGGTGGGAAACCTTTTTGCCATTAAAGGCCACACTTAAATTATGCAGCAATGAAAGAGGCCGCATAAGCTGATTGACCTAAAAAGTGACTTTTATCAAATTATTATAGTTTTTTATAGTTTTAACAATTGCATTTATTGCATTATATAGAAAAAAGTAAATAAAATACTTCAAAATATAATATATAATAATAATATAAAATAATATAACAATATCACAAAAAATACAATAAATCAATATTTTTTAAACACTAAGTTAGTGACTTATTTGTCTTTGTTTTTTGCTTGCCAGTTTTTTGCTTGCCAGTTTTTTGCTTGGCGACTGAGTAATATATGACAAAATGACCAACAAATATCGAGATGTAAAATTTCTGGGTGTCGAAGGAAATCGAACAAAATTTTATTCATTTTTCTTGAAGATTGGAAACAAAAGTTGGTATGTTTCGAACGTATGTAATGAGATAAAATCGACTTTTTTTCGATAAAATCGAATTTTAGTTCGTTTTAATTTCATTTAAACATTTATTTTTTATATAAAAATGATATTCAAATCTTTCGATTTGAATTAGATTTTCATATCCTTATTGTTACATAATTATTTGAAATAAAAAAATAAATATTTTTCTTATACCATTGATTTCATTGATAGATTTTTATTTTGCAAACTAAAGTGTTACGGTTAATTTAGGAAATTTCGGGCTTTGGAAAAAACAGATTAAATTCATTTGTGAACTTTCGGTATGAAATTGGGTATAACATTCGGTAAAAAATTGATCATACTGGGAAAATACTTACATAAAGTTTTCCACATTTTATTCGTGCTTTTTCCTTCAAAAATATAATATAATATAATATAATTTATATAATATAATATTGAAATTGTTTTTAAAAGTTGTCCGTTTTTAATTGCACCTCAAAAAATATGAGTCATTGGTTTGGAATTTTCACTTATGAAATCCACATTGCACGACCCTTTCTCGTATCTGCATTATTATAAATGTAGACGCATATTCCAAGATTAAAGGCCATGTTTCAGGTTAAAATTTGATTCTAAAATAATATAAAACGTGAATAATTTGTTATAACTGCTACTGCTAAAATTTCTAACAAAAGTCGATTTTATTTTTTAGTCGTTCGAAATATACATACTTTTTTCTCTAATGTCCAAGACATATGAATGAAATTTGGTTCGATCGCCTGAGACACCGAAAATTTTTATAACTGGACATTTATTGGTCATTTGGTCATAAATTGCTCAGTTGCCTGGTTGCCTAGTGGATGGGTAGCATAAGAGTCTGTGTCTCAGGCTAGTAATCTGATGTCATGTTACAATATGTTTTTGGTAGGATTTTTCTCGGAACTCTCATGACGTTGATGTACAATAGTTGTTTGAAAGTAACTCTGCTATTTTGCACTAGACGGCAAGGGGCCGCACAAGAACCTCCCGGAGGCCGCAGGTTCCCCACCCATGGTATAAACAATATGATATAGGGTCGCTTTTAAGCGTTCGGCCGGTTGCAAGCACGGACGGTTATTGGCCGTCGGACCTAGTCCGGCATCTATGCCGCCTCGAGCTGCTAGCTACCGAATTCTCGGATGGACTCTATTACCGGTCAGCAATGCTATTGCCTTGGGTACTTTCAGGACCCGTCTTGAAACACGGACCAAGGAGTCTAGCATGTGCGCGAGTCATTGTGAAATACAAAACCTAAAGGCGCAATTAACGTAAAGATTTGCTTAAGTACACTGAGAGATGACGGACCGCATCTACGGATGCGTGCTTGCAATCCCGAGGCGTGTCACTCTCATTGCGAGAAGAGACGCACTCAGAGCGTACACGCTAGGACCCGAAAGATGGTGAACTATGCCCGGTCAGGTCGAAGTCAAGGGAAACCCTGATGGAGGGCCGTAGCGATTCTGACGTGCAAATCGATCGTCGGAACTTGGTATAGGAGCAAAAGACTAATCGAACCATCTAGTAGCTGGCTCCCTCCGAAGTTTTCCTCAGGATCCGGTAAAGCGAATGATTAGAGGCCTTGGGGTCGAAACGACCTCAACTTATTCTCAAACTTTAAATGGGTGAGATCTCTGGCTTGCTTGAATAGTGAAGCCAGAGATATGGATCAGAGTGCCTAGTGGGCCACTTTTGGTAAGCGGAACTGGCGCTGTGGGATGAATCAAACGCCGAGTTAAGGCGCTTAAACGACGCTAATGGGATACCATGCAAGGCGTTGGTTGTTTAAGACAGCAGGACGGTGGCCATGAAAGTTGGAATCCGCTAAGGAGTGTGCAACAACTCACCTGCCGAAACAACTAGCCCTGAAAATGGATGGCGCTGAAGCGTCGTGCCTATACTCTGCCGCCACGGCATGAGAAACGTTCATAATAGTTCGTTTTGACGCCCTGGTGAGTAGGAGGGTTGCGGTGGTGTGCGCAGAAGGGTTTGAGCGTAAGCCTGCCTGAAGCCGCCATTGGTGCAGATCTTGGTGGTAGTAGCAAATACTTCAGCGAGGCCCTGGAGGACTGACGTGGAGAAGTGTTTCGTGTGAACAGCCGTTGCACACGAGTCAGTCGATCCTAAGCCCCAGGAGAAATCCTATGTTGATGTTGGTGTATTTTATTTTGAATAAAATTTCACACACATCGGGCGAAAGGGAATCCGGTTCCTATTCCGGAACCCGGCAGCGAAACCGTTTACAAGTCGGGCCCTGGCAAGAGAGTTTGTCGGGGTAACCCAAAATGACCTGGAGACGCCGTCGAGAAATACGGGGATAGTTTTCTTTCCTGTATGAGCGTTCGAGTTTCCTGGAATCCTCTAGAAGGGAGATAGGGTTTGGGACGCGAAGAGCACCGCTGTTGCGGCGGTGTCCGTATTTTCCCCTCGTCCTTGAAAATCCAGGAGAAGGCCACGGTAGGTGTAGCGCCGGTTCGTACCAATATCCGCAGCAGGTCTCCAAGGTGAAGAGCCTCTAGTCGATAGATAAATGTAGGTATGGAAAGTCGGCAAATTGGATCCGTAACTTCGGGATAAGGATTGGCTCTAAAGATCGGGACGTGCCGGGCTTGGTTTGGAAGCGGGCGTAAGCCGATGTGCCGGGCCTGAGCGAGGTGAAATTGTCCTTGTGACTCAGATCCGAGCTCGGGCCCGTGCCTAGGCCCCCCGCGGATCTTTCTTGCTGCGATGTTTCTGTGCCGGCTTCGGTCGGTCGGTCTTACTCTTCGGCCGCCATTTAACGGTTGGTTCAGAACTGGCACGGACTAGGGGAATCCGACTGTCTAATTAAAACAAAGCATTGCAATGGCCTTAGCGGGCGTTGACGCAATGTAATTTCTGCCCAGTGCTCTGAATGTCAACGTGAAGAAATTTAAGCAAGCGCGGGTTAACGGCGGGAGTAACTATGACTCTCTTAAGCTTCACTCTTAACTCTACTCTTGGTGGGAGTGGTTGTGGTTCTTCGGGACCACAGCTAACAAGTGGCCTTTCTCCTCATGGGTCCCATAGTGAGTACCCCTTCGGGTAAAAACCAAGAGCCACCTCTGCGAAATTTGGGCTTTGGGGCTGCCAACCTTTTCGCCTGTAACTCAATCGGTGCAACTTCAAACAACAGGCCTCGGAACAATAATGAAAATTTAGAATTAAATTTGGGTGAACCCACTGGTTTACCCCCACCGATAAATATAGAAGGCCATAAATGTCGATTTTGTACATGTAATAAATATTTTGCAACTGTAGTAGGTCGGGGAGTTCATGAACAAAAAACACACAAAGAATGGTATGATGAAGAACTCGCCAAAATAGTACCCAAGAAAGCAAGGTGGGCGGAGGAGGAGCAGAAAATGATGGCCAAAGAGGAGGCTCTCTTAATAAGGCAAGGTGTGGGTCAAATAAATAATGCTCTCTTCGCAGTAACACCAGGCCGGACGATGGAAGCTATCAAAGGTCAAAGGCGATCCCCCAAATATAAAGGCCAGGTCGCAAAATTTCTCGCTATGCCTGTAGACCAAAATACCAATAATGCATTCTCTCCAGCCACCGAAGATACATCCAAACATGAGCTAGCTAATGCATTAAAGGCCGCTGCAGGACAGGATGCAGATAAATTTAATAGTTCTTTTCTAAAGAGCATTTGTCTCAGAGCGGTTGAAATGTCACCGGAAAAAATAGAAAGAAATGTGACTGAATATCTGAATGCCACCTTTCCAATTAAAAGAAAAGTAAAGCCTCAATCCAACAAAAGAGGTAATGCACCAATAATAAGTTAAAGACAGTTGCGTAGGATAGCATACAAAAACACCCAAAAGTATTGGGCTAAGAACCCTAGTAAATGTGTATCCTAGTTACTAGACAACAAAACGACAACTGTCATGCCTCCATCTGATGTAATGGCGCAATACTGGCAAAACATATTAACGTGCTCGTCCTCCGAAACACCAGGCACTGATGAAGCGAAAACAGACGATCTCTCACACTTATGGCGTCCAATTACCCCTCAGGAAAATAAAGATTCACTTCCAGCGAGGAATTCGGCTCCAGAGCCCGATGGCATATGAGTAAACCTGCTAAGGTCAATGCCCATAAACTTATTGGTAAACCTGTTTAATATTATATTATATATGGGTCGCGTTCCTGATACAATGAGTGAATCCTATACATCTTTGATACCTAGAAAGGATAACGCGGAAAACCCAGGTGATTATAGACCAATAACAGTTTCATCGGTCCTTACAAGAACATTAAATAAAGTACTCGCTAGGCAATTGCTTAGTGGAGTAAAGATCGATAGGAGACAGAAAGCTTTCCAAGCTGATGACGGATGCGCATATAACATCTTTGCGCTTGACCAGTTGTTAAGGTACCACAGGCAAAATAATAAACCACTCTATTTAGCCTCTATAGACGTTGCAAAGGCATTTGATTCGATCTCCTATAAAGCTCTGGCCGATACACTAGAATATTATAATTTGCCACAATCATTTATCAATTATGTTAGCGATCTATATAGAAGGGGATGGACCAGACTCCGGTTTGGTCGCTTCACCTCAGATCCCATTAGTCCGAGGTGCAGTGTCAAGCAGGGATATCCTCTGTCTCCGGTCCTCTTGAACATGATCATGAACAGGATTATTGAAAGCATCCCACCAGAAATCGGGGTCACTGTTGACGGATGCTTCTACAATATTCTTGCCTTTGCCGACGACCTAGTTTTGGTAGCGTCGTCGGTCGGAGGTTCGCAGAAGCTATTAGATCATGCCGGTCAAAACATGTCAAACTGTGGCTTTATTATAAATAATAACAAGTCATTTACAGTCACGGTCAAGAACGTGCCGCACGTCAAAAAGTTGATTTTGGATAAAACAACTACCTTTAGCTGCAACGGTCAAACACTACCCGCACTCACAAGAGTGGACAGCTGGAGCTTCCTCGGTGTCCAGTTCAAACCCGAAGGCGCAAACCTAGGGAACATGAGATTAAATTTACTAACAATTATTGAAAAATTAACTAAGGCACCGTTAAAACCGCAACAAAGACTCTTCGCATTACGAACTGTAGGCATACCCAAAATACTCTACCAACTAGTATTGGGTCATGCAAAAATCGGGTTCCTCAAAACGCTGGACGGAATGATAAGGAAAGCCGTAAGATCATGGCTAAGACTACCCAATGATGTAACACTAGCGTACTTTTATGCCCACTATAAAAAGGGCGGCTTATCAATTCAATCCCTTAGATGGCTCGTACCCCTTCGACGTAAGAATATAATCTAGAACTTGAACTCTACCGACTCAAGCTTCCACAAGCTTGACAACAACACCGTCATAGGCTCTCAAAAAGAATTGGATGAGAAATGGGCCCGCACACTACATAAGTCAGTGGACGGAAACCTACTTAAACACTCAGCCAAAACACCATCCCAACATCGATGGATTATAGAGGGCAATAAACTTCTAACTGGCAGAGACTCCGTAAACTGTGTCAAATTCAGAATAAACGCGATGCCCACAAGGTCACGTACAACGAGTGGGAAAATAGAGGACAGATACTGCAGGGCAGGTTGTAATGCCTTGGAGACACCGGATCATGTACTCCAAACTTGTCACAGAAGCCATCGCCAACGCATTGAACGCCACAATGCAGTAACCAACTATGTAAAGAGGGCATTAGAGAAGTCACACTCACAAGTTGATCTTGAGCCATTCTTCAAAACAACCGAAGGAACTAGGAAGCCTGACCTAATAGCGTCACATGATGGGAGGTCATAGTATTAGACACCCAAATAGTCGGAAGCTCTGTCGACTTGGCAGTTTCACATAAGAGGAAGATAGATTATTACAAGCCGCTGGTAGACATGATAAGGACGAGGTACAATGCAACTGAGGTACACTTCAATATGATAACCCTTAACATCAGCGGTGTTTGGTATAAAAAATCGGCAGAGTTTCTAACATCAAACAAAATACTTAGAAAGGACAAATTCAAAATTGTTTCAACCAGAGTTATCATCGGAGGACTGAATGGGTTTGCAAAATGTTCAAGAACAACGATAGTTAAAAAGAAGAGACAGGGAATTGGATGACCAAATATATTAATGCGTGCTGCCTGCGCCACCATCCTCCAGACACAAAACTAGGAGTTAGGTTTAGTGAATATTGCCTTCGGGCCGAGTCCCACACTACCTAGTCAACCTGGCGACCGGTGTGCGTAAATTGCAATCCCCTCCTAGCATGCACACACCGCAAGCTCTAGGTCATGTCTCTAGAGAACGAAGTTCTTGGCTTAATCGCCCGGGTCACGAGGAAGGATCCTCTATAAAAAAACACCCTCAACTCTAAGATAAGGCGCGCGCCGACGGAGTGAATGGCTGTGAGGAAATACAGCTCTGAGCGACCAACTCCGAGGCACCAGCCGACACCTCGGCAGTAACAGACTTGCCCAGTCACTGGGAGCGCCACCTGGGTCAACTGCTAATCTCCTATACTCGTGGGAACAATTATGAGCATTCAAAAATCGAAAATTAAAACGGACAACTCGTTGTCCAAAACGGCTGCTACCCAAAAGGCAGAAGCCAAAAACCAAGAGAAAGTGCTGGAGAAGGGGGATACAACCCCTAAAGAGAAAGTGGTTAAAAGAGGGGATGCAACCTCTAAAGAGAAAGTGGTGGAAAAGGGGGATACAACCCCTGAAGAAAAAGTGGTAGAGAAGGGGGTTACTAAAGAGAGCAGAAGCAATCTATCTGCGGATAGTTTGCATAAAGTTAAAATTGAAAGTTTTCTTTTTAATGAATCGAACAAAGTGTCCAAAGGCGCAATGAAGTTTATTCTCGATAAATGGTCAAGTTTGAGAAAAAAATTTTTGAGCGCAAAAAACAGAGACCAAATATAACGAGAAAACTACCAACATGTCATATGCAAATGTGGCATCTAGAGCACTCAATAAAGTCCCAACACAAATAGTACAACAAAAACCAAAAAACGAGTACATATACATTAAACCTGAATGTGATAAGACAGACAGGAGATCAATTGATGAAATAATAAATCACGTAAAAACTGGTCTAAAAGATATTAGTAGGCAGATAAAAATTAGAGGTATACGGCAACTCCGAAATAAAGCAGTTGTCTTAGAGGTTCAAACAAAGAGAGATATAGAAATAATTAAGAGAGCAAATCTGAGTGCGCAATAATTAGTTGTGGGAGAGCCCAAGAAGCTACAATAACAAATAATTATGTATGATGTAGAAGAAGACTGCCAGGATGAAAACTTCCTAGACTGTCTAATTTTGAAAATTTTTGAACACTTAGAAGAAGCAGAGGCAGAGCTTCTAAGAAAGGAATGCAAAGTCGTAACTAAATTCAAAACTAAATTCGGCAAAAACAACTGGGTAATCCAATTACCCGGAAAGCACGCAAGTAGACTACTCAACGAAGGCAGAGTCTACATGGACTGGCGTACATATAACCTCAGCGAGTATGTAAAAATTCCTCGTTGCTATAAGTGCTATGCATATGGACACCTAGCAAGAGTATGCAGAATCGAGAAACCTGTATGTGAGAATTGTGGCAGCAGTGAACACACCACGAGTGACTGCTCCAAAGATCAAGACGCAAAATACGTAAACTGTGTAAGAAACAAACGTAAGGAGACAGGCCATAAGGTGACTTGGAAGTTATGTCCTGAGGTACGAGAAACTGCTTCAAATTTATGAAAACAAGATATCATGGGACTAAAAGCAGCCGAAGTTAACGCACAAAGGTCTAAATCCGCAGCCGCCAACTTAGAACTTATTTTTTATCAGTTAGGACTTGACATACTGTGTATTCAAGAACCTTACTCAATAAGGGGCATGATAAAAGGGTACACCTCAGCAGGACTGAGAGTACTACAACCGGCGACAGCCAATCCTTGGGTTGCAATTGTAGTAAGAGATAGAGAATATGATATCTTTTAAATGTCGGATCTGGAATGTGATCATATAATGTGCGTAGAGATATGCACTTATAAAGAAGGATTGTATCTTGTAAACTGCTACATGCAGTTCTCAGTCGACATAAGTAGCTTCCTGCAAAAGCTGGACAGAATCCTCAGGAATCTGGCCGACCGCCGCATCATAGTCACGACAGACGCAAATGCAAAATTTGGTCTGTGGTTTTTCAAGACTCTGGATAGCAGAGGTAAGGAACTAGAGGAGTGGATTGCCTCTATCAACCTAGTTGTTCTAAATGAGCCTAGTCACAACTACACATACCAAAGTGAAGCTGGAGACACAAATATAAATGTAACACTTACAATCCCTAATATGTCTTCAAAAGTGATCAACCGGAATGTGAATGATATAGCGACCACCAGTGATCACAGCCTGTTACCATTTGAAGTAGTGCTTGAAACAACAGTCGCAAGGCAAATAAAGAACCAAACAGGCTACAACACAAGGAAAGCAAAGTGGGAAAGGTTCGGGTAGTTGGTGGAAAGGGAATTCGACCAAAGAAGTCTGGGGTCTCTGCAGAGGTTAGACCCAAATAGGGCTATTAAGATATTTAATAAAAAACTAAAATCAATCTGTGATAAATGCATTCCCAAAAGGAAAGCCGGAAACTAGGTCATACCATGGTGGTCGAAGGAGCTGACCTGTCTAAGGCGGAAAAATAATAGAACCAAAAAGTGTCTCTTGCAGGCCAAGAGACTATGTCTTGACGATATATCAACCAAAATGCAGGCATACAAAAAGGCAAAAAATGACTATGTCAGAGAAATTAGAAAACATAAA